CACGGGGAGATCGTTCCAAAGGGTCGGAGCTACTACCGAGAAGGCTCTCCTCCGCGTAGTTGCCAGTCGACACTGACTGGCAGATGGAATTCGGAATGTGGCTTTATAAACCGGTACTAAGACTTCACATGATTTTAATTCTGTTTATACAACCAAGGATTGTATTTGTTTTTTCGGCTGCCGCTGCACACCACAGACTAATGGATGATTAAGGGATCGTCCATTAGGACTCCAAGGTCCCTCTCACAGTTACTGTTTTTCAGCCAGGTCTCGCCTAATCTGTACCTTGGTATTTGATTACTTTGAAACTTGTCGAATCTGGTATTTGATGCGAAAATTGCGTCCCAGTACTCGTCATTTGTTTGGTGTTTAACATGCAAGTTAGAACTTTTTGCTACTTGTCTCACCTCTCAAAACCAATTAACAAGGACAGAGATCATCAAATTAAAAATTGAATGAGTGAGTAAGGCAGAGATAAAAGAAAGCAAGGAAGGAAAGAGAAGGGGGAAGGAAGGAGAGGAAGGAAGTAAGGCAGAGAAAAAAGAAAGCAAGGAAGGAGACAGAAGGGGGAAGGAAGAAAAAAGAAGAGAAAGAAAGGAAGGAGAAAAAGGAAACAAAAGGGAGGGAGGAAGAGAAAGAAAGGGAGAGAGAGAGAGAGACTAAAGACCACAGAAACACCCTACTGCTAATCCTTCCCCTGCCCCAATTCCCACAAAAGAAAAATTATACAAGTTTTTTTTGGCAAGAAGTACAAAACTGAACGCACATGAACATGAAAATATGATTCTTCTTTCCAGCCTCCAGCTCCGTCTCATTCGTCTGAGATAATAATCAGAGGAATAGAGAGATAATGTTGAAAAAAAAAGAAAGAAAGTGGGAAGTTGATGGAAGGGGAGACGAGGGCATTCCTCAGCCAAGGCCCCCATCAATCTCAGGGCCCGCCTGGGCTGAGGGTAAAATAACAAAGCCCGTATTTATCTCAAAAAGAAGACAACGCTGAACTTCAGACAACCCCAGAGACCAGCCATGACCAGCCAGCTTCCTCGTCCTGTCAACTTCAGTCGTCGAAAACCAATCTTGGGGACTGGTCTCCTTCCTTGCCAAAGGCGGACGGGTGTCACCCATGTGCCACATTTACACAATGTCCTCGATTCACGACTACCCCATGGCCCCAAAATGAACAGCCCTCTCTCAACAGAGGGGATCAGTGATGGGATCCGGCCAGTGATCGCACGCTTTGCGTGCATGCGCAGTCTTCAGAAAACTTACCTTCTGCGTTACTGCTTGGGAGTAGCACAGTTGAGGGATCCAACAATCCACTCTGCCGCACGAATCAGCTGAGAAGATAGAGGTCAGTAAAGCGCAGGGGCAGGCAGGGAGGCCCACCCGATTGTTGGGAGTGAACCGGTTTGCTACTAGCTGATCGTCAGAGCTACCTGTTCGCCCGAACCGGTCGGAACCGGCTGAAATCCACCTGAGTGGGATACGACATCGTCTATCTCCAGTCTACCACATGGTCCTTTCAGCACTTCCAAGGGGGGGGTCCCTGCATCCATTTCGGGGGTGAAATCGAGCAGGTTCTGGAGAACCGGCAGCGGAAATTTTGAGTAGTTCGGAGAACTTTAGCGGAAATTTTGAGTAGTTCGGAGAACCAGCAAATGCCACCTCTGACTGACCCCCGAGTGGGGTGAGAATAGAGATTTTGCCTAACCCTAACCCTAACCCTTTTGCCGAGGTGGCGCAGTGGTTAGGGTGCTGTACTGCAGGCCACTTCAGCTGACTGTTATCTGCAGTTCAGCAGTTCAAATCTCACCGGCTCAAGGTTGACTCAGCCTTCCATCCTTCCGAGGTGNCCGAACACTTTTCAGGGGCAGCCCCATGTAGAGCGCGTTACAGTAGTCGAGTCTTGAGGTGTAAATGGTGTAAATTGTGATGGTATGGTCCTCTTGTTTTGTATTTTTAGCTGATGATGGAGACTATTGGAGACTTCTGCCCCCTGGCACGTACATCGTGAGTGCCCAGGCGAGGGGCTACAGTAAAGTCCTGAAGAAGGTGACTCTGCCTGCCAAGATGGCCAGGGCTGGCCGAGTCGATTTTGTCCTGCAATCCCTCAATGGGAAGTTTAGAAAACTTCCCGCAAGAAGAGTGTACGATCCTCTGGAAGATTTTGATCCTCATGCCCAGACAGAGCTACGGAAGAACGAAGAGCGATCCGTCCCGCCACGGGAAAGACCCTGGTGGTGGTCATACTTCAGTTCTCTGAATCAGCGCAAGCCTTTGTGGTTGCTGAAGCAGAGCTGAACAATCTTATATTGTGTCCGTCCTCAGCTACGCTGGTAGTACACAGTGGTGTCTCCGTTGCTTTACTAGGCCCGGAAATGGAATGGGACTCTTGTCGTGATTGATCTAACATGGCTGTTCTTATCATTTCTTTTATTTTATTTTTTCCTCTACATTAAAATTTGCTACATCTATATATATATATGGCTCTGTGTGTGAGAGTGTGTGTGTTCGTATTCCAGCATAACTCTGGAACACCTCAAGCCATTTCAACCCAACTTGGTACACAGATGACTTATCCTCTGGAAACAAATACCGTTGGTGTGTGTGTATTCTGTTAAGATATAGCCTGTTGTGCCTTAAAGTGTCTTCTACTGTGCAGTGCAGTGGAGTTGCCATGGTAATGGCTTCAAAGTACTCCACTCTGGGGAGGGCGGGAAATCCAACATTAGAAATTACGTTTGGTCCGGACATTTTCATATAATTCATTCTTTTTTTTCTGTTTAATACAGGATTGGGGTAAATAAATACCTGGGCAAAGCTGGATTAACAGCTATTATTACAATAAAATTAAAACTCGATGTCGTGCATTCACCTTTGTTTATGAGTTTTAAGTCTTCACAGATCCCCTCCCTTCTTAACCCTGTTTCCCCCAAAATAAAAACCTCCACAGATAATAAGCCCAATTGGGCTTTTGAGTGCATGCACTAAAATAAGCCATCCCTGAAAATATTGCAACACAGCAGCAGCCGTGAGGTGACAACGCTCGCCACCTCCTGCACCTCAAAAATAATAAGACCTCCTCGAAAATAAGGCCAAGTGCTTATTTCGGGGGTCAAAAGAAGAGAAGACCCTGTCTTATTTTCAGGGAAACATGGTATGTTTAAATTTATAGTGCATGTTTATGGAAAACATGTTAATGAAGGAAAGGAAGAGCATATGCTGGGAAAAAAACTCAGAGAGGCAGACAGACAATAGAAATAGAAGATAGAGATAGATGATGGATAGAGGTAAATAGATGAGATAGATAGATAGATAGATAGATAGATAGATAGATAGATAGATAGATAGATAGATAGATAGATAGATAG